AAAACATCTACAATTAATGGTTTGGTCAAAGGTTACAAGCAAGGGACAAACAAACGGAATAAGCCAAAAGATAGGTTTAATAAATTTACGTACAACAGGAATGTAGAAGGAATAATGGAAGAGTTGTGTAAATATAAGAGCACAAGATCTATTTATAAAAGAGCGCCGAACATCTACAAGTTACTAAGGAATGATAAGGACAAGATAGGAATGAAGGAAAAAGCTGGGGTTTATAGAATTCCTTTTGAAAATCAACAATTAGGAGTAGAAAAAGATTATGTGGGCGTAACCACAAGGAACCTGGCAGTTCGTTTAAAGGAGCATATGTATGATGTTAGTAAAGGGAACAACAACACTATCTTGGCAATCATGGCGCAAACAGATGGTGCAAGTGTTAAATGGGATGAGGCACGAATTGTTAAACCGGTCCATTCTCCGACTATTGCCTTTGGCATAGAAAAAATGGAGATTTATAAGAGTAAGATAAATAGCAAGTGTCTAAACGCCAAGGATGCTAATGCTCTTCCAACGGCATGGAAGTACATAATAGAAAAGGAAATGGGGATTAAAAACCCGTAAAATTATGGCAGTTGTGTAGTACTGGTTTAATGTATATTTTTGTTATAGTAAGCTTTATTTTTTATATATTTTTTATATATATTTTTATTATTTTATATTATTTATGTTTATCATATAATATGTTAAAAATTTTTTAGTTAAATATTTAATGGTTTACGGTGATATTTAAAAATATGTTAAATAGTTAATAGTTACAGTTTATGTTAAAAGTTTAAATTTAAAAGTTATTCGAAAGTTGTATTCGAATAGTTCTTGAAGATGGCCTATTGAAATTGGGCTGAAAACGTTTGAAATTAAAGTAATAATAAGCTCAGCAAGAGTATGGTGTTATGTTTATATTTATCATAAAGTATTTTATAATGGCACTTTTTTCTTTGAATTATATAGCATTTTTAAGTTATTTTTTAATTACAAATCATTTTATAAGATAATATTTTCAAGATTCAAAATTTGTATATTTTTATTATATCATTACTGGATTTTTTTCCAAGAATTGGTTTGAAGGAAATTACATGTTTTCAATGTAGTCATCACATAAATAATCCACATTTATTGAAAGTTATTGTATGTGATTAGCTTAATATACTGATAGATATTGGTCCAAATCTGCCATCTGAAAGTTACTAGGTTTTTATCTTTGATAATTTGATGTTATGTTTTGAGGTTTTTTTTTAATTATGATAATATTGCATTAATCAAAGTTTAGTAAATTCTATTCTTTTTCTTTAATTTCAGGAAAAAGTAGAATATATATTTCTTGTAATATTTACTGCCGAATGTGTGATGAAAATAATTGCCTATGGTTTACTATTGCATCCGGGAGCGTATCTTCGGAACACTTGGAACTTCCTTGATTTTGTTATAGTAGTAATTGGGTAAATATGAATTGATTTAATAACTTTTGCAAACGGAATTTAATCATTAAAAACACAAACATAATTTTAATATAATTAAAAATTTGGATGAAATATGTAATATTGCTTTTTAATCTTAATCTGATCCAGAATTATTTTGATTTTTGTTAATGAAAGCTATTATAAATAGTTTAAAAACAATTAAAATTCATAAACACCTATTATTTTTTTATTAAATATATTTTTTGAGATTCTAAATTTGAGTTTAATTATTTAAGTATTATTTTGTTTCATTAATACTTTTAACATATTAAAAATGATAAGTGAAATATTACATAATTTTTTAAAAATTCTGTTGTGTCATATTAAAAACATAAATATAAAACTTGTTCTTTATACAGATTGACTATTTCTAATCCAGCATCATTGGGACCTGTAGAGTGTCTGATAAATGATTTTGTTGGATTACTTATGGTTAGATTAGAATACACTTAACCCACCATTTCATTGTATATTTAAAATACCCAGTAAATCAGTACTAGTTGGTTAATAAAGAAAAAACAAATATTAAATGAAAATTCTTTCAAATTGTCATACATTTTGATATTGTTGTACATCTGGCAATGTTGAGCACCCCAAACAGTGGCAGTTGGTTAGTGCACAGTCTGAGAAATTTGAAATTATGCTAGTCAAAATTAGTACCAGATTACTGATTGCTGGATTAGTGATGGTTGATTTGTACTGCTCAAACTTTTTCAATATACAGTGGATGATCGGTTAACGAACATGATTTATTCCAAGACTTTGTTCTCTATCCGAATTGTTTGTTAACTGATTATCAATTTACCATAGATTTTTATGGGAATTTGATTAATCTATTCTGGAGATCCCAAAAATAAAAATATTATATACTTTCTTTCTACGATTATTTATACAGTATGTAATAATAAAAATACATATATACACAGTCTTGCATTTTTATCAATCATGTTTTTTACGTTTGTGGGGCATTAAAGAATCTGTCCAATGTCAATTGCTTTTCTCTCTTCTTCAGGATTTTTCGGAAGCAATTAATAGCATTGTCGTTGTAGAGATCCCTAAGCCTATTAACCTCAACTTGGTTTGGATGCCATTCTAAGACATTGTTCTGACATCTTCCCACTTCTTCAAAAGATCTTTAATAACAGATGTCGGCATTAATCCTCTTTTTCAGAAGAAAACATATCTCACCGAGTTTCTTGGTGTTCTTCATTCAAGGTGTCATCTTGGCATTCTTCTGTCGTCAACACTCTTCAATGTTTTTTACTTCTCAGATGCGAGTGATTTTTATTACTCTTTAAGCTGCTTGAGTCTTCTTGATTATACTGTATCATTCTTAGATAAGATTGAACTGTGGCCTACTGTAGACCTGCCCAGCAACATCAGACATCTTCTGCCCACTCTCTACCTTTGCTATTATACTCTCACATCTCGAAAATAAAAAACAATGCAAAACTTAGAGTTCCCGCCTGACAGTATCCCGAATACTATAAAAGAATTGTTTCTGTCAGAAAAATAAGAGGCTGGAATTACAAGGAAGATTTTCAAAGTTTGGAGGAATACTATCTGATCAATATATACCAGGTTGAGTGTTGATGTTGACATCTCTCGTGCTTCAAAAAGTTTCAAATTGTTGCCTGAAGACAAGGGAAGACCAATTGGTACTAATTATTTTGTGTCGTTTCTTCTTATGTTTGTTCTGTGAGATGTTTTTTATCCAAACATGTGTTCATTGTCTGAACAGAAAAATCTTTTGCAAAAGTGTTCATTATCCAATTTGTTTGTAGTGCAAACTGTTAACAGATCACCCACTGTATTAGTCATATCAGCTTCAAGAACAAAACTTTAAATTAGAATAGAACATGTATAAAATAAGACACTCTACAACCAATAACTGGTGTGAAGTATGGCTAAGCAATAAAAAACAAATGTTTTCATAACCCCTTCTAGGTTTTTTTTCAGGTTTTCTTAATTCTAAATAAGCTGGATCTTTTAATATCATTCGAGAATATAAAATGGAATAGTAAGATGAAGAGTTTGAATAAAGGAAATTTATGCACATGCATTCCCCATGTCAATCTTTAAATAAGATTGAAAACTAAGTATCGCTGTCAAGTAAAGCCTGCCGTGCCATTGATAGAGACATCTCTTCCTTAAAATTAATGCATGTGGACTTGGAGTAGGCCTTAAAACTCTTGACTGCCTCTAACTATTGACGTGTTCTGGATGTGGGGTAGTAAGGATGATTGGGCTCTGGGAAAGTCTGCTGTAATATCAGGGTCTGTCATGTACGTGGAGAGTACGGTGGTATTTCTACTGTGTTGTATATCCGATTTATGCTCGCACATCTTGAAGAAATGTTAAGGATGAAATGATAGTAAAATATTTTGAAAGGGCAGGTTTTTCCATTAAATTTTGATGATCTAATTGAAGAAGCTACTGTTATGATAAATTAGTCTATGTTTTATGAAGCTACTGTTATGATAAATTAGTCTATGTTAGTGTGTAAATTAGTCTATGTTTTTCCTTCTGATCATATTCTAGCTGAAGAACTTGATTCTAACATTGAAAGTGATATCCTTACATGTGAAAAGGAAAATGGAAAAAGATGCAGAATATATTTTTTAGGATATACTTTGATTCCATGATGAAAAATTTAACTCTCCTGATGACAGTGGAGGCTTTACTAACAAAGTATTCCAACCTTCAATGAATCTCTTTTATACAACAAAAATAATGCTATATTACTCAGCTGCAAATGTACCTTATTTAACAGAAAGAAGTAATAAAAAATCATGTTTAGAAAAGCGGTAGAACAACATTTCAAATGTACAAACTGGGACTTCAGTTCACAACATGACAAAACTATAGCCTTACTCACTCTTTCCAGCACATAATTTCAGTCATGCACTAATGTTTTCTTTGAGAAGTCTTCCTCGTGTCTTTACTATTGCAAACTTGAATAATTGAAGAGATTCTAGACCTGAGGAAGACTTCTCAAGGAAGTTGAAAATCTTAACACAAGACTGAAATTATATGCTGGAAAGAGTTAGGCTATAGTTTTGTCATATTGCAGCAGAAGTTGAAGCAATTGACCTTAAATGACATTTTTGCAAACAAATAAGCAATTTGCAAAGAAACAATATTTAAATAAACAATGTAAACTTAAGGTATGACATTTTTGTTTTCAGCAGCAGTATATTGTTTAAGAAGTTCATAACTTACTAAATTTTGACAAAAATTTAATAATGAGATTGCCCATAATATTTATATCTTAAGTTTTACAGTTTTTCCCAGAATGAAAAGGATTAAAACCTTGGAGACTTAACTATATATTATTTTTAAATTTTGATAATAATTAAAATACTTTAAAATATAAACTTATTAATAATTATACAAATATAAACATCCAAACCCGATAGTTATATATTAAAGTCAAACGATTGCCAAATTACATTAGGATATATTACTACTATTATTACTAATTAAATGCTAAGTAATTTAGCACTAAAGGCAAGCATTAGGTGCCATCTCTTTCTAAATTTAATAATTGGGCTGCAATTTGAAAAAATTGTAGACCTATAAATTCTCACTGTTGTCCGTCTGTCTGTTTGTTTATCTGTCTGTTCTTCCTTAATCTCAAGAACAGAATTAGATAGATGAAAGCTGAGACCAGATATGGAAAGATTAGGGGCTGGAAGCATCTATTAACTACTGTATATAGGAACTTCTGATGCAAACTNGAGGGGAGGAAAAAAAAAAAAAGAAAGAAACTCGTTAGAGAATTGTTAACAATTTCCATAGCAAATGTTCTCTTACAACTTAACTGACGTTAGAATAAATTCGAAATTATCTAACAGGGTAGAATTCACCAGCCATTATTAATCTTAACCAATAACTGTATAAAGATAAAGAGAAATTGGTAAAGATCCATTACATACGAAATGACAATTCTCCTTCCGTGTCATCTGACAAGAATATCCGCGAAATTTATGTAAGAGAACGGGTAATTAAATTATTGACATGCCATGTGACCAGATTATTCAACAGAAATAGGCCACGTTCTTAAGGAGTTAATTAACTCGGCCCGCTTTAATAATTGAAATTGTTCTGTTATACGTCGACAATGATTCTACCTCCGCCAACAAGAAAAGAAAAAAAGAAAATTAATTGATAAATTTAAAGAGGATTTCTTGTTTAAAAATAAACCAATCAACGCCAGGAATTGCAAAGAAAATCTCTTTTTACATGCCTCATTGATAGAGTCACATTAATAATAATGGCGTACGTGTAATCTCTAACCATTATTATCCATTATTTTATTTTTTCGTTTGTTGTTTATTTTAATTAGATATTTTAAGATTCTTCTAATCCTGTATAATTATCTTCGTTACTTTATTCGAGTTTACACTCCATAAAATTCAAATTTTTATATTATAAACGAATGTATTAGAAAAACAATGAGGTTTCTTATCGCGCTAAATTTACCAATACGGCTAGGTATTGTCGATCACTACCAGTTGTATTGTTGACTTTGTGCTGTTTCATGTTCTTTTTATTAATTTTAATTTAATTTGTTATGTATAGTTAATATATTTACTTTAAAATATATTTGAATTTTTTAGTGTTATAAGTACAGCATTACAGACATTAATGAAAGATGGATTTGATGTCAAAGCGTTAAGAGCTTTTAGAGTTTTAAGGCCGTTAAGATTAGTTTCTGGTGTTCCAAGTAAGTATTAATTGTCATAATATTTTTATGAATAGTTAATTTTTAGTAATTTCTACTAAAATGTATGAAAATGAAAACGTTACAGAAAATACAGACATAAAACATTTAATTCATTATATTTTTACTTACTGAACTACAAACTCTCACTTTAACACTTCTCACTGTTCATTACTGTAATATTTCTCAAAATGAAAAACAAAGAAATGTCTCTAGTATATTCTAGTTATTTGTTGCTTTTTCTATTATTATTATTTTATTTAACAAAAGTATTATTTCTAAAAACTCTTTGATAAGAACTATTGAAAGTTATAGTTAAATCTGTTAAAAAGTTATATTCCAAACTTTCTCTAATTTGAATAGAGAATGAGTGTCTTTCATTATTACTCAATTATAAAGGATATTTACTTTATGATAAATTTTGATTTTAAACATTTCAGCTAGCTTTTCTATTGATGCATTTAGAATAGAAGTTTTATATTAGTAACTTGTTAAAAAATTCTAATTTCACTTTATAGTCTGTATTAAATAACAACTTCAGTAAGAAAGTTGCTCTGTATTTTTATTTTTAAGTTGCTATATTTTAACTATTTATAGTTTTTAAGGATTTCTTTTGTCTCTTTTATGCCATACCTTCTGTTTTTAATACCAGTAATCCTTTATAATATTCAATTATGGACATTTCATCAATGTGTACTCGAGAAAGTATTTTCAATCAAAAAATTGTTAATAATAAAAATTGTCTCAAACTTCATTGGATTATTATTGTAGTTATTATATTCTGAGTTAAACACATCTAATAATAAATGCTAGGTGAAAAAAATTATTTGAAGTTGATACACTATCTAAAAGAATAATCTATAGAATATTATTATGAATAATCCTACATAAAAGAAATAGAAAACAACAATCATAATGCATAATCAATCTTAAATTGTAGAAATCAATAAATTTACTTTAATTTAACATGTTATCATGTACACATCCATCACTGTTCATCAGCATATCTGTACATCTTATAACTAGTCCAAAAATTAATCTGACTTTGAACATATACTTTGCCTGTCAAGGCCCATGCACAAAATATACAACAACATAATTCAAAATTTTTGAATTTTAAAAATTTTTTGTATGATTTAATTCTAGAAATTGAGTACTCTTTTAACAGAAATTTAAAACAAAAAGTAGAACAATGTTCACAAAATTTTTCACTTCTGAAAAGAAAGTGCTAAACTGTGAAAATATTTTAGCAAAATGAATTTTAGACTATTTATCTATCATTAAAATAAGAAATAGCCAAAAAAAATTTTAATTATATAAGAGAATAAATTAATTAGCTTTAATATAATTACTTCTTTCTGTGCCTAGCATAATATCACATTATACAAGTGCAATGTTAGCAATTGGTTAGTTTAAATTAAGCTAACCAATAAACAAATTCCAAATATACTACTGTAGAAATTAATGACTAAAAATAATCTAGTTATAAATCCAGATTATTTCTTATTTCTATATTTTCACAAAGATTTATAATCACAGTATTTGAAGAAAAAAAATTTTGTTATAAAAAAGAATTAAGGATAAGATTTAAGAAATAATGTGCCTGTACAGAGAAGACACTTAAAAAATAAAATGATTTATATAATTGGAGTAAAGAAAGTTAAATTGAAAACAGAAAATATACATTATGTGCATAAAATAATATATTGCACCTGATGAGACATAATATTTAGACATTAATATGTCAAACAATTTCCAATAATAAATCTAATAGTCATTTATCACTTGATTTAAAGCTTAATTAAGTTTGTACTTGTTTCTATGTATGTATGTGTGCAATCATGTATATGTAGGTATGTTCCGGCTAGGAAAAATTCATTGCCTTTGATCGCCCTTATTCTTCTCCTTTAAGGATCAATTTTTATCTTCACACTAGCTGTTCTATCAAACATTCCCTATGAAACTTTGTCTTCTTGAAATTATAAAATTTGAACTAACTGTAAAGATAAGATTTAAATTTCATTTTATATTAAGAATTTAGTCACTAATTCAGTTTTATAAAATGTTTTAATGAAATATGACAAATTCTAGAAAGTAATAGTAAAGTTTTGTCTGATTAATATCTCAATCAAAAATGAAACTGAAATTTTAGTTACATTTGTGTTAAGTTAAAGGCATTTAGTATAAAAATATAATTTATCACTACATAATTCCATCATTCTGACATTTCATCGTATGATTTAAACTATAAAAAATATTTCATAAATTAAATAATATATGGAAGATTGTTTCACTAATATTAAAAATTTTATATTTAGAATGTACAAATATTAACTTTATTTTAAAATTATATATTCTTTAAGTTGATCCAAAATTTTTAGAAATACAACTTTAAAAATTTTCAAAATTAATGTTTAACAAAAAAATATTTAATGTGAGTTTAGAAGCAGATTTAAATTGATATAAGAAGTTCAAATTATACCCTGCTATGAAGGGTATAATATGAACAAACAACACTATGGAAGGAAACCTGATATAATATATTACTAAAGCTAGCCACTTAAATTTAATACGAGATGGTGCCTGACACCTTCTTCTAATATCAAATTGTTTGGTAATTTATTATTATTATTATTGTCGTTACATAGTTCAATGACATAGGGCAGTGGTTGGCTTTAGTAATACTGCTATAATATGTTAATAATTTAATTTATTCTTTATTTCTGAAATTTTTTAAAATTTAACTACTGTAGTTATTTTTATATAATTTGTTAAAAAATAATTTTATTCACTGTAAAGAATTGTTTATCATTATATAAAATACAATATTGAATATAAGTAGTTGTAATCAAAATATTCTAGAAATAAATTTTGTTGATAATATTTTAATTTTTTACTTCTCTTCTATGTTTTAATTTATATTACTAAATTTTTTGAATTCATTTAGATTTAAAATGAAATTAACAGATTTTAGATTATAGTTATACATGAAAGTTGTGGTTAAGAGTATATAAAGCTCATATCTATGATTTTATTTCTGTATTGAAATAAAGAATGACAATTGATGTAATAATAATAATAATTGAATTTTTCTTATTCAATTTTAATACAGTAAGAATGCGATAAACAGTTGTTTGGCGATACTTCAAGATTCACAAAACAAAAATGGTGTGGCATCTGTTGAATTATTCATAAATTAATAAAGTAACTGCAGTTATACTGTTTATGAAAGTTATTAATCAAAATATATTAAAATATCTTATTTCTATGTTAATATACATTTAATTTCATATAATTATATGTTCTGGAATTCTTACTTTATTTCTATTTATTTATATAGAAGGTATATATATTAATGAATTGATTAAAACAATATAATAATTTATTTTGATATTTTTGGAGATTTTATATTTCACTCTTTTGTAAAAATATATTTAAAATATTACAAATATTTGAAATTGTTGTTTAAATTTGTTGAATGTAAAGAAAATTTATTTAATATTAAACTGTATGATATAGATTCATTAAAAATGATTTATTCATCATTAAAATATGCTGACTATAAACATAAATGCCAATTATGTCATGTGAAAATCATATTATCTGTAACATATATAAAGATAGTATTTACTGAAATAATTTTTTTTTTAATCTAGAATGTCAAATTTTTGAATTATTCACAGTCTATATTCAAATCATGTAATATGAATAAGAAAGATTATTCAATTTTATGCACATTTTTTTTTGTAAAATTTAATTTAAAAACGTTTTGAATGCTATATTTCTTAAATGTTGTTAAATATATAATTACAAATGAACAGGATTATTATTTAATAATTATAAATATATTTAGCATAGTAAAAAGCAATGTAATTATTATTTTAGAATTTTTTTTATAACTATTAACATTTAAGCAATAAATGCCATGCTAATGTTACAAAATTTGCTAAAAGTTTTATTGACTGTCAAGATGCCATTTTAACTTGAAAATCATTATTCAGAAAAGTTCATAATTATTTTTCTGACTTTTGGTAAAGGAAATTTTTAGATTGAAGTAAATGGTGAGTTTTGAGATATAAAGCATCATGTAGTGAAATTACATTTTTATTAAATGGAGGAAAAAACAAAATATGTTTATTTTACTGACATCTCAGCATATGCAAATCGGCACTTTATAACATTCCATCATTTTTTCTATCTACATGCTCTAGGAAGCAATACTATTACATTTTTTTTTGGTTGATAAACAATATAGCAAATATGTTTATAATTTTATTACATTGATATTTAATGTTTATTAAATTACATAAAATTATGTTATATCATCTCAACATCAACACATTTTCTACCAGTTGATATAATTTTCATCACGCAACTGGTGCAAAAATGACTCAACTGGCAGCGAAGGTTACATTAATTAATTAACACATTCGCTGCTAGTCAATGCAAATTTATATACCTAAAATATTTTTTATCCCTCTTGCAAATACTTAAATTTTTGGTATTCCATTTCTATCAATCAGTTTTAAATATACAGGTCTTTAATTAATTCTATTAAGTTAAACAACATGCAGAAAATTAAATAACTTATAGAATATTCAATCTTTGTAATGATAAAAGATAAATAANATAAAGATAGTATTTACTGAAATAATTTTTTTTTTAATCTAGAATGTCAAATTTTTGAATTATTCACAGTCTATATTCAAATCATGTAATATGAATAAGAAAGATTATTCAATTTTATGCACATTTTTTTTTGTAAAATTTAATTTAAAAACGTTTTGAATGCTATATTTCTTAAATGTTGTTAAATATATAATTACAAATGAACAGGATTATTATTTAATAATTATAAATATATTTAGCATAGTAAAAAGCAATGTAATTATTATTTTAGAATTTTTTTTATAACTATTAACATTTAAGCAATAAATGCCATGCTAATGTTACAAAATTTGCTAAAAGTTTTATTGACTGTCAAGATGCCATTTTAACTTGAAAATCATTATTCAGAAAAGTTCATAATTATTTTTCTGACTTTTGGTAAAGGAAATTTTTAGATTGAAGTAAATGGTGAGTTTTGAGATATAAAGCATCATGTAGTGAAATTACATTTTTATTAAATGGAGGAAAAAACAAAATATGTTTATTTTACTGACATCTCAGCATATGCAAATCGGCACTTTATAACATTCCATCATTTTTTCTATCTACATGCTCTAGGAAGCAATACTATTACATTTTTTTTTGGTTGATAAACAATATAGCAAATATGTTTATAATTTTATTACATTGATATTTAATGTTTATTAAATTACATAAAATTATGTTATATCATCTCAACATCAACACATTTTCTACCAGTTGATATAATTTTCATCACGCAACTGGTGCAAAAATGACTCAACTGGCAGCGAAGGTTACATTAATTAATTAACACATTCGCTGCTAGTCAATGCAAATTTATATACCTAAAATATTTTTTATCCCTCTTGCAAATACTTAAATTTTTGGTATTCCATTTCTATCAATCAGTTTTAAATATACAGGTCTTTAATTAATTCTATTAAGTTAAACAACATGCAGAAAATTAAATAACTTATAGAATATTCAATCTTTGTAATGATAAAAGATAAATAAGAGGATGTATTTTATTTATAGTTTGTAGAGATGTTGCATCACTTCTTTGTGAATCTTGAAATGCATGTTTTACATTCTTTTTGAATTGTATAAAAATTAAATAAGTAATTAAATAAAAAAAAGAATTGGGAACTATTATATAAATTAAAATGTCATTCATTTGTTTAATACAGATATAAACTTATGGATATGAAAATTTTATAAATATAAACTTAGAACTACAATGTTGACTTATTAATGTAAGTATTTATTAATTTAATGATATTAATAAAAGATTTAAATTTGTTAAACTTTAAATCTATCAATTTAAAATTAAAAAAAATGATGAATAAAATATTTTAGTAATAATTGAATATTATTTATTTTTATGAGAAAAGGAAAAAATAGTAATAAATTGAAATGTTTTATTTGTATTTACAAAATAGTTAAAATATTTTAATAAATAATTGTTTTTAAATGCTTCTTTAATATAAAACTATAAACAATTAAAATGAATTCAAAATAACTTTAATTTTTTGCAAATAAATTCAGTTTTGGTGAAAGAAATGGAATTTAATTATAGAATTTGAAAGATTTGTAGATTAGAAAGTTTCATAGTTTATATATAATCAATGTATTGAATCAAATTCATGCATATATACATTACTGAAAAAAATTTAATAAAACTAATTAAAATAAGTAAAATTATTTTCATATTACTGAATTTAAACAGAGTTTATACTGAAGTTCAGTCTAAACAGAGTTTAATCATAATTTATGTATTAAATATAATCAGATTTATTTTAATTAATTTATTTTGTATTTATTTTCTATATATATATGTGTGTGTGTGTTTACATAATTGTATAATATTTAATCTTATAACAACTTTTGTCAAAGAAGTGTAAAAATAGTCTAATATAATCAAACTTCTGATTTGTCTCTAGCAAGAAGAGGAGAAAATTCATAAATTTCAGCCAAATCTTCAAATTTAAAATGCCTTTAAACATCAGTTAGAAGAGAGATAACTTTACACTGTTATAGGAAATGCATAATAAAAATATTCTCTTTTTTAAATGGTTAATGCTTAGAAAGTTATATGATCTAATGACGAATAATGATTATGGGACTAAGTATATTGGGCTGCAATTTTCAAAAATTGTAGACCTATAAATTCCCAACGGCATCTGTCCATCTGATTATCTGCCCTTCTTTAATATCAAGAACGGAGTGAGATAGATGAAAGTTGAGACCAGATATGGAAAGCTTAGCAGCAGGAGATATCAATTAACTATATATGAACTTCTGGTTTGCACCGGAAGTCACGTTATTTCAGTTAAAAAATTTTATCCTGAACAGAATTAGATAGATGACTGGTATGACACTATTATTAACAGGAACCCCACAACTCCTGTTTATTGTGCAGTCATATTTCCAGTTACACTACCCAAATCTTCATCTGATCCTCACTTCCAGAACTTATTAATTTAGATATAAGTATATTTGGTTACTTATGATTCTTTTCTTTTCTTTACGATTAAGATTCTTTTCTTCCAGAACCTTGTAAATTAATTATTAAAATATTAATTTAATTATAATTATTAAATTTATCAAGAGACAGTATCTAATAGCTGCTTCTAGTGCCAAATTATTTAGCATTTAATTAATAGTAATAATAGTAATATAGCCCAATATAATTAGTCAATTGTTTGGCTTTAATTATTAATAATTATTCTTCATTGGTTTAATTTGATGAATTAAAATTAAATTTATTATAACAACAATTTATTTAATGTTGTATATTGAAAAAGTTACATTTACTGAAATAATACATATTCTGTTCTTTTTATTAATTTTAATTTAATTTGTTATGTATAGTTAATATATTTACTTTAAAATATATTTGAATTTTTTAGTGTTATAAGTACAGCATTACAGACATTAATGAAAGATGGATTTGATGTCAAAGCGTTAAGAGCTTTTAGAGTTTTAAGGCCGTTAAGATTAGTTTCTGGTGTTCCAAGTAAGTATTAATTGTCATAATATTTTTATGAATAGTTAATTTTTAGTAATTTCTACTAAAATGTATGAAAATGAAAACGTTACAGAAAATACAGACATAAAACATTTAATTCATTATATTTTTACTTACTGAACTACAAACTCTCACTTTAACACTTCTCACTGTTCATTACTGTAATATTTCTCAAAATGAAAAACAAAGAAATGTCTCTAGTATATTCTAGTTATTTGTTGCTTTTTCTATTATTATTATTTTATTTAACAAAAGTATTATTTCTAAAAACTCTTTGATAAGAACTATTGAAAGTTATAGTTAAATCTGTTAAAAAGTTATATTCCAAACTTTCTCTAATTTGAATAGAGAATGAGTGTCTTTCATTATTACTCAATTATAAAGGATATTTACTTTATGATAAATTTTGATTTTAAACATTTCAGCTAGCTTTTCTATTGATGCATTTAGAATAGAAGTTTTATATTAGTAACTTGTTAAAAAATTCTAATTTCACTTCATAGTCTGTATTAAATAACAACTTCAGTAAGAAAGTTGCTCTGTATTTTTATTTTTAAGTTGCTATATTTTAACTATTTATGGTTTTTAAGGATTTCTTTTGTCTCTTTTATGCCATACCTTCTGTTTTTAATACTAGTAATCCTTTATAATATTCAATTATGGACATTTAATCAATGTGTACTGAAGAAAGTATTTTCAATCAAAAAATTGTTAATAATAAAAATTGTCTCAAACTTCATTGGATTATTATTGTAGTTATTATATTCTGAGTTAAACACATCTAATAATAAATGCTAGGTGAAAAAAATTATTTGAAGTTGATACACTATCTAAAAGAATAATCTATAGAATATTATTATGAATAATCCTACATAAAAGAAATAGAAAACAACAATCATAATGCATAATCAATCTTAAATTGTAGAAATCAATAAATTTACTTTAATTTAACATGTTATCATGTACACATCCATCACTGTTCATCAGCATATCTGTACATCTTATAACTAGTCCAAAAATTAATCTGACTTTGAACATATACTTTGCCTGTCAAGGCCCATGCACAAAATATACAACAACATAATTCAAAATTTTTGAATTTTAAAAATTTTTTGTATGATTTAATTCTAGAAATTGAGTACTCTTTTAACAGAAATTTAAAACAAAAAGTAGAACAATGTTCACAAAATTTTTCACTTCTGAAAAGAAAGTGCTAAACTGTGAAAATATTTTAGCAAAATGAATTTTAGACTATTAATCTATTTTATCTATCATTAAAATAAGAAATAGCCAAAAAAATTTTAATTATATAAGAGAATAAATTAATTAGCTTTAATATAATTACTTCTTACTGTGCCTAGCATAATATCACATTATATAAGTGCAATGTTAGCAATTGGTTNATAATTTTTCTTTTTTTTTTTGTCTTCATTTTCTCTCTGGAAATGAGTTGTTGAGGCTTGAAAATATTGAGATTGCTTTTTTACATTTAACAATCTGAATGAAGAAATGAAATGATTACTTTTTGAAATATTCCATAGATTATCAGAATATTTATTATTCATATGAATTATTATTAAATTAAAACCATATATATAGTATATTTTTATTTACATTTCTTGATTTTTATAAAAGTAGTTTATTTTTGCAGGTCTTCAAGTTGTATTAAATTCCATTATATGTGCTATGGTGCCCTTGTTTCATATTGCTTTATTAGTAATTTTTGTCATTATCATCTACGCTGTTATTGGTTTAGAGTTATTTTCGGGGAAAATGCATGAAACATGTTTTAATAATGTAACAGGTGAGTGTAATAAATTATTTATTTATTTATTTATATATAATAAATTGTATAAATGTTGTATAAGTTGATGTCAATGAAATTAAAATCTTGAAAAATCTATGACTTCTTTAAATGCTAGAAAACAAACTATGAGTACATTCAAAATGTTCTCAGAAAATATAAATAAAAAGACAGTAAATTGGATTAAGCACTTTATCTTTCAACATATGTTCTGTTTAAATTAAAACATTTTTCCATACGGTGTCACCATGCTTCTAAGTCCTTCTGTAGAAATCAGTGCTCTGATTCTGACCACTAAACTACAAAATGTTTCACTCGATCTGTCAACTCCTGGTGAGTGCCTTTAATGTGGTTTTTTAAATTTGGGAGTAAAGAAAGTCTGATGGGACTTGAATACCTGACAAAACAAGTTGCAAGTTTATGCTTGCATCAGTTAATTATAAATATAGCATTCTGCTTGTGAATAATAATCACTTTTCATGAACTTTTTCAATACTCCCTGCATTTTAATTCATAACAAATGTTTTTGGACTCCTCCCGAGCTATGCTTCAGGTTTTCTGCATTCTATGAATGGAACATGTATTGAAGACTTTGGTGGAATTCAAATTTAAATTGCTGCATTGCCAATGGATCTATGATGTAGTTAAACCTACATTATTATGTAACTGGGTGGGTGCATTAATTGATTGGATGGCATCTTATTGATCATGATGGAATCATACGTTGCCTATTTTGTTTCTCTTCCTTATAATTAAGGCATATCCCCTTCTGGTCAGCTTTAAAAATTTTCAGGGTTTTTATATCTTAGATAGTGGTGAGATTTGCAGAGGTGTATTTATTACACAATAAATCCAGAGTGAAGGTAAAAGAACTATTATGATAATTCTAAAAAAGTCAAAATTATTACATAAACAATAATTTCCAATAAAATGCTACATATAATTATTTAGTAATTATTTATTCTCATCTTTTAAAATTCAAAACAAATATTTATTATAAGATATTTTATATTTCTTTATATATTAATATGAAAAACACATATATTAAGTGTTCACTACTATTTATAAGAAATAGATATTAATATTTTATTTATTTAATATTCTAAAAATTCCCTGCAGTAGGAATCTAGTTATGTATAAATTATATTTAGAATTATGTATATTAGATATAAATAATTTGATTCCTCTTTTGACTGATTAAATTATTGAATTATTTATGTTTTTATCAAAAAATTATTTATAAACATGATAAATGACTTTTGTTATGGTTGAATTTTAATAAATGACAGACATAATCATTCCATACTCAATGCAATTTATTTAAATATGAAATATGATGGTTTTCGAGTAACTGTAATGCTAAAAAATGCTGCAATTGTTGAAAAACTGGTTGTAAATGTAAAATAAACACTTCTAAAAAATTAAAAAATCCAGCAGACGAGAAAACTTTAATGACTAACAAATGTTTTCAATCATATTCAATGGTCATCATCAGTTAGCATATTTGAAAATAGAATACTTTATAATAAATATGTCAAAGTCCATTTTTGAAATTCATTAAAAACCTTTAATGTATGACTATGCCATTTGTGATTATCCCTGACACTTGATTTCTCTGCCAAAGAGATTGTGCTATCTATTTTTAAATGTATACATACCAATTTATATTCTATTTTTGAATATGTTAATCTGATGACATCTATTGATATGGTCTTGTATGGTAATGTACTGTATTAGTTTCCATTACATGTGTATAACAGTTAAAATGTGCATTTACATAATTTTGTATTGACTTAATAGGTTTACATTTTTATTTAATATGATTCTAAACGTATGAAAATTTAAAATAAGTTAAAAATTCTTTAAATTTTATTTTATTATTTTAGCGTTTATGTTTAAGAATAACAATAGTTTTCATATGGATATATTAATGTTAAATTACTTAACATGAAAGTAATTTTAGATATTTCTATAAATTGTCATAAAATGAATTTATTAATGTGTATGCAAATTCATTAACAATATATCTTATGATTATTTTTGTACATTAATCATATTTTATTGTAGGTCAGATTGAATCAGAAGATCCTCATCCATGTGGCAAAAGTGGATTTCAATGCAATGAGACCCTCTTTGAAGTATGCAGAGAATATTGGGAAGGACCAAATGATGGAATTACAAATTTTGATAATTTTGGACTTGCCATGTTAACAGTATTCCAATGTGTAACAAATGAAGGTTGGACAGATGTAATGTATAATGTATGTGAAATAATTCTTCTGTTTCTCCTTGTTTTGTAAATATATTTTAACATTTTAACATTCTATATTTTAAAATATAACAAGTTGTTATTGAAAACTTTTATATTTACATTAATATGAGATTATAAAATTGGTTTTTTTTTCTTAATTTTATACACATTACCATTTAGGAGAAATTTTCTTTTATCTTTATAAAGAAGTACTACAATTGTGATTTTAAATTTTTAAGACTTAAACATACATGAAAAATTGTGATTTAAAAATGATATAACTAACAAAATGTTTTTTCCTTCTTTACTAACAAAAAAACCAATTCTATTATTAATTAATATACAGGGTGCCTCACAAGTATGGAACCATAGCAGTTATGCTGATCTTTGTTTATTCTTTTACAGATAAAGCATGGAATAAGGCAGAACAATTGAAGTTATTTTGATGGCGAACATCTGCAGTTTGAGTGAAGATGGTGAAGAGTTTAACAGGCTACATCTTGATCACTGTGTGTGATTGATGAGAAGTCCAGATGCAGCCTATTAAACTCTTTGGCAATTTCATGCCGACTGTGAGTTCTCACCATCAAAATAACTTCAATTTGTACTCAATGCCATGCTTTTTCTGTAATAGAATAAACAAAGATCAACATAACTGCTATGGTGCTTATAATTTTTTTATAAATAAAACACAAATCTCTTCAATAATTTATCAGATATAGCAGTTCACTAAGAAGAAAGCTTTAATTATATAATTCCTTATTAAAATATTCATCATAATAGTAATGAAAGGAAAAGAAATTTTCATTTTTATTCATCGGGCTGCAATTTAAAAAAATTGTAGACCTATAAATTCCCACTGACATTCATTGTGTCCTTCTTTAGTCTCAAATTGCATTAAATAGATGAATGTTGAGTCCAGATATGGGAAGCTTAGGGGCAGGAGGTCCTGATTAACTATATACAAACTTCTACTTTGGTCTGAAAGTCACGTTATTTGAGTTCAAAAATTTTCTCCTGAATGAAGTTAGATACAGTATATGACTAGCATAACTGTATTGTTAACAGGAAAAGTGTGTTGTACAGGGGCAAGACACTACTGAACTTATTGTGATGAAAAATTGCAGCATGGCGTTATGATGATATCACAATAAATAGCTCATTATGAATTACAATTTTTATTCTTATTTTAAAATACAATAAAACTACAAAATTGAAGTGCCATATGTATTAGTTTACTGTATGCTTATTTTTACAATTTTATGATTTCATTGTATTGTATTTAAGTAAGAATATTAAATATATAAAAAATGTTTTCTAAAATTTATAACTAATATTGAAACATCTTAAAATATATTTTATTTTTGACTGATTAAATTATTGAATTATTTATGTTTTNGGGAATAGTTGGCCTTGGATATATTTTATTAGTCTTATTATACTTGGTTCTTTTTTTGTTCTTAACCTCGTATTGGGTGTTCTCAGTGGGTAAGTTGAAAAACTTATAGTATTTTAGAATTTAATTTTGATTAAGTAATTATTAAATTATTTTAAACAAGTTTTAGTAGTTTATTATTCAAGAATATCATGAAGACTATATCATAGTTGTTTATTATTCATTAATTGGTAATAAAGTTACGTATTTTATAATAATAATAATAATAATAAGCACAAAAGGTTATTTAAGAAATCAAACAAATATAAACACTGAAAAAACCAGTGAAAAAATTGTACACAAAGTGCAAATGTTTTCACCTGTGTTAAATGGGTGTCATTAGGCAACAAACTGCTGAGAAGACACAGGGGATTGCTGAACACATGTATAGGGGAAAGGAGTGTATGACATAAGAAGAGAGGGACTTATATTTTGTAGAAAGACTTCCAGGCAGTGGGGAAGCAGTCAGTGTCGCAATAGTTTATGGCTGTGTTATAGCAATGTTGACTGCTTTCACAGATACATGATTCTTTATCTAATAAAAAGTTTCATTGGTCTCGCTGACTCACTGGCATTAATAGTTTGAATAGAAGTTGACGTTTTGTAGAAAAATACATTGGTATGTTTATAAGGAAATATTCAGTGTACTAAAAGAAAATCCAAAATTTTAAAAAAGTAAAAGTTTAGGCTTTACTTGGTATTAATGTTTGATTTTTGATATCTTTAGAATGCCACATTATATATATATATATAATGTAGCATTCTAAAGATATTCTAAAGGCATTCTAAAGAATTCTTTTTATAAACAATTTCATTAATATATATATTAGAAAAAGAATTTTTCTAAATTGCAACAGAGATGTGGACAATGTTGCAAAGGGATACCTATTAGTTCAGTATGTAACAATATATTCATATTGTATTATCTAACTGTTCAAGCTGATTTCTTTCCAACAGTTTGTATTAAAACAATGTTCTTTGACTTTATTCCTGGAATAGTATGAATATCTTTTGTGTTTCTTTATGATCAGTCTTTATTATTTTACTTGATTTGATATAGATATTTGATAATAGACATTTAACTGTGGTACTTAAGATAATATTAAGTTGTATAATAATAACAATAAAAATAATATAAGTAAAAAGATAGCTGAAAATAGATTGTTTGTTTGTTTTACTGTAGTCAGAATTATTTCATAAAGTATTAATATAATGTTATAATCTTTTAATTCAAGTGAATTTTCCAAAGAAAGAGAAAAAGCAAAGTCAAGAGGTGATTTTCATAAACTTCGAGAGAAACAACAGATTGAAGAAGATCTTCGAGGCTATTTAGATTGGATAACTCAAGCAGGTTTGTAATTAATTAATGATATGAAAAGAATGAATTTTGACAATTTGGTAGTACTATATATTTTTTCATATATTTACAATGTCTCCATTATCAGAAGCATTGTCTTATGATAATTGAATCCATTTATGTGAACATTTATGTTCTCATATATAATGAATGAGTTGATGTTTATATACATGAGAATATTCATCATATTATAGATCTACAGGAATTAACATATCCTCAATCGATTCCCTTAATTGTATCAAGGAATAATAATGGAATACTGAATGTTATTTTATTAATTACATACAAAGCAGTGATGTAAGCAGTTGCTAGCAATGCAACTCTTTGGAAACAAAAATGAATTATTCTGTTACCAAAGGATTGAGATCTTAGTTTTACATAATGGTTTTATAAGCATCTACACACACTTATAGGCATCGTAATGATTATCTGCATCTGCATACTTATCCATCCATATCTGCATTACATAATTTATCGACAGCCCCTATGTTTATAAAGCAAAGAATAATTTAAAATTAATTGCATTGATTGTCTTTGCATGAGATGGATACTTAGGATAAGAAAATTTATATAATGTGATTTAAAAAAAATTAAAGTAAATTTTAATAAGCAAAATAGAACCACACTAATGAAACCAGATCACTTCTGTTATTATCGTCTAGGATAGGAATTGTTTTTGTTTGAAACAACTATAAACATGAAACTAACTAGGAAAGTATTTAATAGATATAACTACTATTAAAATATATGCAGATTATGACAAAGTTTTAAATAAAAATAAGTACTAGAAATTGTGGATTAAATCTTTGAAGCAAGAAACAAATAATGGTGACAGCTCTAGTTTGCTGGTGTGTATGATTAGAAGAGTATAGATCACATGCTATAGATGAAATTTTGATTGTGATTGACTGTGTATGATATTATTTTTCAATGATTACTTCTTTATACAGGGTGATCCATATTAACTTTACATTTCTTTTAAAATGAAGGAAAGTGAATTTTATCAAAAATCCTAAAAATTTTGATATGTAAATTGGGTCTCATGTATATCATCTCTTTCTGTTATAAAAATTTATTATTATAAATCTATTAAGTTTAATATATAATTATAACTGTTAAAGAGTTAATAATAAAATTTTGTTTTATTTTATGTGATGATATGAATGTTTCATATCTGAAAAATTTTAATATATAATAAATATTATTTATATTACAGAGGATATAGAACCAGATGAAAAAGAAGAAGGAGAAGGTATGTTATTGACTTGTGATTATTTGAATTGAATTTTAAAGTTAAAAAATTATTTTATTAACAATTACATTAATTATTATTACATGCTTTCAATTTATTGGATTTAAAAACTAATACTATAATTTCTAATAAAATTTACTTAAAACATAAATTGAAAATATTAATGTTTATTCTGTTTATTTTTTAAATATTAGTCAGTGTTTATTGTATCTTTTTATTTTTTATTTGAATATTTAAAATTCTATCAATAGGATGAATATTATTAATGTAATATACCATAAACTTAAAAATATGTTGAGATTTAAAGTTGAGATTATCAAATGTTTTAAATTTATTGGAAATAATTATAATTTTTATTATTTTTTTCTGAGTAATTAATCTGAATGTTCAGTAAAATAAGACAGTTTTTTCCATAGTTGTAAAACAATTTTATCAGATCTTTTAAGTAATTTCATTATTTGTTTAATAATAATTCCTTATATGAAAATATTTTCTCCAGGCAGATAATTAATATTTTAAAATTATTGCTCTTAATAGATATCAGTACTTAAGTCCAATTTCTTTTGTGTCCAGAAATAATTTTGATAAAGATTTTAATTATTTAAAAACATTTTCCATTAAAGCATTTTTTCTATTTGACTTTTAATACAGAAAGTTTGATGATTATTATATTTATTGAAGTGTTTATGAACAGTAGAAATATTGTGTGAATTTATTAGTAAATAATTAAAAGTGAAATGTAATTGCCAGTGTAATTAACTCTCAATTAGTGAAGTATCATATTTGTAATTTCTGACAGTTCAGTTTAATTATGTAACTGATCATGCAAAAGATATTTTAGTTAAAATTTAATCCAGATTAGCTTTAGTTTTCAAGTAAAAAAGAAAAGAAGTTAGAAGTATACATAAAGTTATTGTTACATTATTATGATTTTAATAAATGTTATTTAGTGGCTGTCATATTTAATTAATAAATTGATTTTTTTCTAAATATTCAACTGACAAATTAATGTTGACAAAGAATGTTTATATTCTTTCTTTAAATATGACGTAATTGTAAGTACTATATTTATTCTAATAAACAATGTAACTGCAAGATGAAGTTATAGCTAACACTCCCTAATAGTAAGCATGCTGTTAATTGGAGGAAAGTAAAGCTTATTGTAAACTGAAAAAAATTGCACATTCTATTCAACATCATTACAAACATACTGTATGTTGAAATAATGTGTGAAGGTGTCGAGTATTGTGGTGTTGTTCGAGTAATGATAAAGTGAAAAATGTCAAATTTATTCCATTAATAGTTTCCCTTGAATAATTACACCTAATTCTCAAAAAATAGAAGTAATAGTTGCCCCCTAATAGTAAATGCTCTTAATAAATGGTGCAGCTACAAGATGAAAAAAGCTGTAGATATTATGCTGTTTGGTAGAATAAGCATGGTATTTGATTCATTACTAGAATTACCTAATTGGAAATTTAGACAATTTAAAAGCTTTATTATTTATTCAAAAAGATTTCTTTGCTTTGATATTTTTTATAGTAATTTTATTGTACAAAATAATTTTCCATTATATAAAATATATGTTTTGGTTATGATTTGATTTTTAATGGTTGCTGTTTTTATTACAGTTTTGTGTATTTGAATTATTATAAACTAAAATAGTATATAATCTTAAATAATTTTAATATATATTTGAACAGTTGAACCAGAAGATCAAGTTGAAGGAGATGATCAAGCAGAAGCAAAACCACCTTCCTGGTTTGCAATTAAAAAGTAAGTTTTGAAATTTAAAGATTTATTTAAACATTTAAGCATTTCCATTGTAAGACTATGTACTTATGTTTAATCATTATAAATTACTTTACTATCTTATTTTAGAAAACAGTTTGAAAGACAGAATCGGAGATTGAGGAGAGGATGTCGTAAAGTTGTAAAGTCTCAAGTATTTTATTGGATTGTAATTGTCCTTGTATTTTTAAACACTTTAACATTGGCTTCAGAACATGATCAACAACCAAAATTTTTAGATAAATTTCAAGGTAAGAATTAAACATTAAATTAAAAGACAAACAGTTTTTTTCAAATTCTATTGTTTTTGAAATATCATCTGAAATTCAGTTATAGAATAAATATAATATTAATTATATAAACATCGATAAATATTTAACATCCATATTTTTCACAAATTACATTAGATGTTATCAAAGGAAAATTATAGGATGAAAATAAAAGTATTTTATTATCAAAAATTTTATTGAATAGAAATATTAAACAAAGTGTATTATAGAACAAAATAGGCAAATGAAAGAAAATTTTACTATTTGAAATCATGCTAATATATTTTTACTATTGTTTGTTTATATATGTGAAATGATTTTCAATTAATCTGTAAATTTTATTTAATAATAATAAATATATTTCTTTTCTTGTTTCAGAGGGAGCAAATATATTTTTTGTAACTTTATTCAGCTTTGAAATGGTAGTTAAAATGTACAGTTTGGGCTTCCAAGGATATTTTGTTTCATTATTTAACCGCTTTGATTGCTTTGTTGTGATAAGTTCCATACTTGAAATGGTTTTAACCTATACTGATCTCATGCCACCACTAGGAGTATCAGTGTTGAGATGCGTACGTTTACTTCGTATATTTAAAGTTACCAAGTAAGTAGTTCATTTTTTAAATTTTATTTTTTATAAAATTAAAGGCAAAGTATGCCCAAAAGGGGCCACCATTTATTTCTTGTGTTCCAGACTATACATTCACAGCGACAAACCTTCCTTTATTGGCTTCATCTGCCAGAATTTAAAAAAAAACACAAATATATCCAATTAAAATTATAAAAAAATTTTAAAAAGGAGCTGGTGATATACAGACATCTTGCTTTCCATCCATCCTATGGGGTGTTTCTGCTTTTATCTACTGGAACTATCAGCAGTTCCTTTTTAAAAATTTTTTATAATTTTAATTGGATATATTTGTGTTAAAGGACTTTTTTGTATAAAGGACTTTTTTTTTTTTTTAAATTTTAGCAGCATGTAGTCTATAAAGGAAGGTCTGTCTCTGTGAAATGTGTAGTCTGGAACACAAGAAATAAATGGTGGTCCCTTTTTGCCAGACTTTGTCTTTAATTTTATTAATAATAATCTCCATTGGATTAAAAATTTACAAAAAAAAAAAGTATTTTATTTTTTAATAA